TAATAGTTGATCACTGTAAGCCACCAGTCCAGGCTGAGAGGCGATGGGATCTCCTAGAGTCCTGCCTCCCTTCCACGAGTTTACCCTCAAATATGCAATATAAAAAATGTACTAATTCGTATATATATTTAATCAGTGATTAAAAAAATTAACACAAACAAAATATGCAATTGCATAATTATATATATATATATATATATATATATATATATATATATATATATATATATATATATATATATATCACAAACATTCCACATCACAAGATGGCACATAAACTACCGAGCCGTTGGATAACCGAACAATAATAAAGCAAATATAATAACTGAACTGTTTTGGTTCTAATGACGCTATAAATTTGGGTATTTCAGTGAATGAATCAGTGAAATAGACGACTAATGCTATATAAGGTAATAAGCCCAGCCCGACACACGAACGGCAGTCGAAGCCAAACCCAACCAAACCCGGCTATTAAATATCTGGCCCATTCATTACTCTTATGGCTGAGCATTATTCTCAATTTATCCGGGGGCGAACGCACCCCTTGCAGCGACTCTCTCGCCCCCCCCCCATTTTTTCTCCTTTTTCGTTTTCCCTTTTTAACCAGGGACCAGTGTTTTTCCAATTTGCGAAGCCTAGCAGCCGAATAAATCTTCGCCTTAAGTGTCTCACCGCTAGCCATGAGGATTTGCGTTTAGGACCACCCTAATAAAACGCAAAAAAGAGATGATTTTTTTTTTTTATTATTCCCTTTTGTATGTATTTCTTTTTTTTTTTTCAGTTTAGTTTATCGCTTTCACCGTTATGTATTTAAACATTTTTAAACTGGAATATTGTTTAATTAATATTCAATCATTTAGGAAAAATAAACAATTGATATTAATATGGTTGAGTGCTACCAATGGGTAGTTTCTCAACATGTGTTCCATGTCTTTATACCAATGTGAAAATTTACTAGATGTATTTTTTTGTATACAGTTGTAAATATCATTTAAAATAAATAAAAAATATTAATATGGCTTGGCGAACCCGAAGGTTCGATGCCGATACCACCAATCGATGTCTACATTCTTCCATCCACCGGACGCCTTCTAAATCCAACCCCGCTAGATCAGCCTTAACGCAATCTTCGGTCCAAGTATTCTGCACAATACTTTATTTTCAAAAACCTTAAGACGTTGCTCATCCCTTAATGTAAGTGGCCACGTTTCACATTCATAAAGAACCGTATGAAGAATAATGGTTTTCATCGGATAATTGGTTTTCGATGGAAGAAATCGTTCAAGATAGGTGAAAATGAAGTGACCGGTTAAGGAAAATATCATCAAAAAGTCCCAACAGAAACAAAATGAAGAAAAATATTACAAAAATTATCGAGAAACATAGATTTGAACGTATTGACTCCTGAGTGTTCAGGGAAAATCCAACAAAAAAAAAAAAGTAAATTGTCTCGAGGGATTCAATTTTGCATTATTATTTTCAACAATCAACCATTGTGATCGACCAAAAAATTCAAAAACTTAACCCCCTCTCAAAATTTGAGGTTTCACGTTTCAGGATGCGTAGAATCCAAATACGAATACAAATTTTTATGTCCGTCTGCCGTCCGCCCATTTTCTCCGAAACTACTGGACCGATTTTTTTCAAATCTGGATATAAAATCAGAGGTCACCTTAGAATGATTCTCCTTCATCGACATTACTATCCGCCTTTTACTTTCGAAATGGCGGCCGAAAAACCTGCGTTGCTATATACTGTAACTCCTAAACGAATGTACCGATTTCAATGAAACTTACCTAAAGTCATTTTCTTGACGCCCTTTAAATTTATCTATATAACATACTTCAACGAAAAGAAGCTGGAAAAAAAGTTACGAGGGATGGTCAAATTTAACTCCGGATAACTCAAAAAGTATACACCTTTTTGTCGATATTGCGATAAGATGTTTCAAAGGTATTTAAATCTTCAACAAAATGAAGGAAATTTCATCGAAATGAAAGCATTATTAGTAGAGATATCGCGATTTTAAAATATTTTTGATTTATTATTTTCAATAATTTATTTTTATTCCTCTATCGAAAACTGCAGAATCTGGTCAATCAATTTACTATGATATCAAGGGACGGAGATTAAGATCGGAGGGACATGTAGCTCGTACCAATCCATTTGGCAACCTCTACTTAACAATGAATTCCTTAACAGAAGGCAAAAGACCTCGTGGAAAGCTAATAATCAGATGTAGAATCAACAAAGACGCAATAGAGTTGCGAGCACATAACTGGAAAGAAATAGCCCAAGATAGGCAGAGACGGAGCAGGCTTGTTTAGGCAGCAAAGATCTACAAGGTATGTAAAGCCAACAGAAAAAAAAAATCTTATAACAATATATAATTCTTTATAGTTTGTATTATATTCAGGCAGACTTTCAGTTATATTGTTCTATAATTATTTACAATTGTAAAATTAATTCATTTGGCAGCTATGTTTGTTATGTATATGTGGTCAGCTCTATCCGGAGGCTTTCTCCGAAAACATGAAAAAAAATTAGGCACAATTTTTGAAATTCCAAAAGGATAAAACCAAATAATTAATAGAATCGGTATGACAGGGATGGCAAGTTTTGTTATTGTTCTAACTGATAACTACCAGCTGCTCCATAAACTACTGATGTGATCTATCATTCAAGAATGTAGTATGTTTCTTAGATGGATTGATGTTTTTTTCTTCACATTATATACCATCAACTAAAATGCCTATAAAAGAAACGTACCATATCCGCATTCATCAATTATGATTTATGAAATAATGGAAGATCCAATTATCAAGACCCCCATCGACAATTAACAAACAGCTTTGCCATTTAACTTTCAGATTAAAACAGTTAAAATTAATTTTCTCAACAGACACTGCGATGAAAATGATCTGGTAGCGGAGACCGTTAAATTAAACCTAACCAGTCTGCAGATGTTCTCAAGTAATTACAGAGACTTTTATTACGGTATCTATGAGACTATTTTCTAGCGACTCTATTGAAATTACGACATTTTTTATAAGGCGGTGTGGAACAGTGTTGATAATTAAAAATCTTAAATTTGTTAATTCTAACAAGACTTTAAACAATAATCTCTTAAGAACCAAAACGTTTGACCCAGTTCTAAGTTGTAATGGAAAAAGCCATCTCTGGAATAAATTATCTGTGAAAGAATTATTAAAATCCAAACTTTTGAAAAATTATGTTAATTCGTTTTAGGCTTTTCTAGGCTTCTTAGAAGGTATAAAATAAAAATTTGAATTAATTTTACTATCGAGACAGTTCACTTTTGTATTCCTCTTTTCTTTTTTATTTTACTTTTTCGGTGAACACTCAGGAGTCAATACATTTAAATCTATATTGCTCGATAATTTTTTGCTTATTTTTCTCCATTTTGTTTCTGTTGGGAGAGAGGTTGTAGATCTTTATTTGTCTTAACCGGCCACATCATCTCTACCTATCTCTGGCGATTTCTTCCCAGTTATCTGCAAGAGTTAGAGCATCTATCTGCCAGTTAATCGAGCATCTTCGTTGATTGCTCTACAGCAGGAGTTTCAAACCTTTTTGACCCACAGACCGCATTGAGACCACCACTTACGTCCCACGGGCCATCGCTTGTGATGAAAAAAAAAGTTTTATTAATGACACTTCAGTAGTGAAATTAGCTTTCTAAGAAAAAAAAATCCATGCGATAAATCGAGTGAGTGCAGAAACTACTTCAGTAAAAAAAAAATGCGAAAAATCGTTTTCAATGAAAAGAAGCTTAGAAAGGCAAGATGCGTGTTGAGTGCAAGAACCACGTTAGCCTGTTGAATATTTCCGTAAATACATGACGTCTTTTTCGATCGTTGAACTCAGAAATAACATGAGTCAGTGAGTATCGTGGTTTTACACCCACCTCTGGATCGCATGACCAGCAGAGATAGATATATTTATATTCAAAAATTGTTTAATATAAATGGCCTTAGTTCTACAGCGTCATTCAATGTTGTGTAGATATTAGATAAGAGGCTTCCTCATGGATTCACCCGAGCAATATTCCCCGCCCATCTTAACCTCCTTACCTTCACATCATGAGATATTGATTAATTAGTTTCGGCAAGCAGTTCTTTATTGGTCCTTTTCCTCCATGCATAAGTACTGTGATCCCAGATCGCTATGCGAATAACTGTTCTCACATACCTTTCAATATTTATTTCTAGAATGCTCGTCTTGTATCCATATATCAAAACCAGATTTATCCTAGCATTTTATCCCCTTAATTTGAGATTTCTTGAACTTTTTTAAGATTACAATATCCAGATTGGGGGAGAAGAAAGGTCTATTTACCACCGTTTGTCATATCAACTATAGTTAAAAATAGTACGAATACTGTTCACTGAATTCGGCGTTGAATAAACGTCTAAATTATTAGGTTGACTCATCCTTCCTATTTGCGAATATTCTACGCAATACTTTATTTTTAAAACATCTTAGAAAGTTCCTCATTCCTCAAAGGAAGCTGCCTCGTTTCAAATCCATAAAGTTCCGTTGGTAGAATAATGGTTTTGTGAATTCTAATTTTCAAGTTTCGTGACAGGAGATGCGAGCTAAATAGTTTTGTCATGCAAAAATAACAAGCATTTCCTCCTTTCAACCTAACTGTGATTTCGCTTTTTTTTCTAGTTATCGCATATATCTTAATTTCTCTTCGTGTTCAGACATGTTCCATTAAATATAACATTTGTATTATTACTGTTTGCTCAACTATAAAATAATATAGCTTTTAACGATTAAGTAATAATATAAAAATAATTCGTTGCGAGAATTTTCATCATCAAATAATTATGTGAGACTGAAACCAATACTCCCTCCGCTTTCACTAATTACACTTGGATTCCAACTTTTTGCTCTTTCTTGTAGCGGTCAAGGTAAAATAAAAAGAGCAATTGCCGGGAGGAGAGAGCTGATTGCCCGGCATCGATGCGTCAATGCCCGCCCTGACTGATGACCCTCCAGCTACAACGGAGATTGGCTGCCCGCAGGTAACCTTCAGCGCTTCCATGCTCTCAGCTCATCTTCATTACTTTTACATCAGCATTAAAAAATAAAATTATATATATATATATATATATATATATATATATATATATATATATATATATACATATATATTGCTATGTTTTGTCCCCACAAAAGGGATGACATTAAAAATTGCTACGTTTTGGGGCGTTTAATTTTATTCAGGTTGCCGCCACTGGATAAATTATTGGTGACAATTACCCAGAAATTTTTAATAAAAATTAATTATAAAACAACTGGTATGTCAACTCACACAACTTTCCTACCTATTTCGGAATAATTTTTATATCTTTACATAAGTTCATTAAGAAATAGAAAAAAAAAAATTGAACTAGATTTATTTTACTGAAAATTGATCGAAAAAAAAGATTTGAGTTCGATTTGATAAACTCAGGGAGCTCTGAAAAGTATAGATCCATCGAAAACCGATTGCAATACTTTCTTTACCTAGTGTAGGTAGGCTGTGACAAATTGTAATATTTCTGAATAAAGTGTTTTAATAATAAAAAAAAAAAAAAAAAAAAAAGTGTAGGTAGGAAAGTAATAATAAGTTAAAAAATGTGTAAAAATAGAATAAGCTGTATCATCGCTAATACTGGTTCGATTCCGATGATCTATTTTTTTTATTATATAATTTAATTACCTTTCAAAAGTTTAATGATGAATTTTACCGTATAGTATACAGATATAACTTTTTTTCCTGTATTTTCTCGGGAATTTAGTCCATATACGAAAATAGAAAGGAAAATTATTAGAACATTATAGGAAAGTTTCATCAAAATTTTTAAAGCCGTTTTTGCACTACAGTTTATAGAGAAACGTGTTTTTCATTTATTGCGCCCAAGCTATTCCACATGGAGCACCGAATTTCAAACCTAATACCAAAACTAATAGGCTGTATCTTTGTTAATAATTCGGGGGTCTTTCGACAAATCTCAACTTTCTTCCTCCTTAAAAAAATATTTCAACACACTTTACTCCTTCCGTAAATACAAATGGTTTAAATTTTATATATTTCAAATAGATTTTTACAATTTTTTTTGTTTGTTTTGTAGGTAATTTAGTAATCTTTCTAATTTTCATGGTTACAATCAAGAAAAAAATGCACATTTTTCATTCAAGTTATTCTCAAATAAAGATTATTTTCCTTCATAACTTTTTTTCCAGAAATTTCGGGGGGATGGGACTATTTTTTGCCTGTGAAGGATAAGAATATCTTCAAAATGAGTGGTCAATCATTGGATTTGATGAAGAATTGACGAAGTAATGCCGTACCGACAAAAAAAAAACACCATTTATTTGTATTCATACATTTAGAATTGTGACTGCGTTGTGAGGAAAACATTGCTATCGGGTTGAATACTCGATTTAAACAAATCTTTTCGTTTCAGAGCCCTCTGAATAGAAAAAGAAACATATAAACCACAGTTTTGTGTGACCGTGTCACGATTATTTCTAGAACGCCTTCACCGACTTTTAACATCTTTTTAGAAAACCAGTTTTGTGGACCGACGCCTCCGAAACCTGCAGACCAAACCCAACTCAGGTAATACATGATTTCGTAAAGATCATAGCATCAAAACGACTTTGATGAAACCTGACTAAATTTGTTCAATATAGCCTTTCTAATTTTCATTTATAATACATTGTTGAGAAAAATCTGGAAACAAGGTAGAAATACAACTAAAATTCATTCGAAACGAAAAAAAATGTCTTCCCAACATTTCTCAGCATATTCAAAATGCTTGTTTAAAATACAAGTAAATTGTCAAGCAGCCAGACTAAAATTAATAATAAATACATAAAATTAAAAATAAATATGAAAAATGGAGGAATTTTAGAGAAGAAATATAAAATATTTTTTTTACTGGATTTAATACACAAAGCGATAAATAAAATAGAGAGAGTAAACGGGCCATATATTTTTATAATACATAATATGCTTGTATTAATAATATAACAGTAAAAGAGAACTAAAACAAATTCAATTTTATAACGATCATCATTTATTTTTTTATGACTTATATTACTTATTATAAAATACAGTGGAATATACGAATACACATGTTCCACTGATAAGAACAATGGTAGCTAATATGAATGTTCTTCCTGGGATGTACTAGTTATATTATTATTATCATTACATATTATTTTAGGTCAAAAGGCAACACCAATTTAACTACTAATAACTAAAGTAATTTTCGTGATTACCACCACCAGAATAAAAGGTTGCTTGGAAAAGGAAAAGCGAAAAAGTGGAAACATAAAGAGAACATTCATAGAAGGAATATTTGTTTGGAGCTGAAGGGATGAAAGGGATCCTGGAACAGACTTCGAACCCTTCAATAAACATCAACAGCTTCAACAGGCACTCTCCTTGATGGAGAGCAGTTATTTCACTGTGACTAATCAGAAAGGAACCGTTCCCTCGAGACTGATGTGTTTGGCAAGGGGTTCAAATTAATTTGGGGTATGAGAAACTCATGTTGAAGGCCCCTAAAATCCAAATGGCTTAGGCCAGGAATAAATTTGGTCAGTTTATACCTAACACATTATTAAGTATTATCATAATCAAATCGCTTTCTCTAATGAATGCAATGCAAGTCACATCTGTTTTTAACAGTTTGTTAGTAATGAACTGCCGGACGAAATTAACTCATCATCTTGAAATTTGTATTTTGAGCAACAATACTTTAGTTTAATTTAGGATTTTTTTCAAACAAGTCACTATTAGCTCTGATATATTTATTCATCGAATATAATGTCTAATATTTTATGAGGATTTGATCGGGGGGAGGGGAGGGTGCGGTCAAATAAATACTAAATTATACAAATAGTATTAATAATTATTTTTGCCGTCGTTTCGACCCACTTTGCACCTCTTCATCAGGGCTACAAAAGATACAAAACAAGTAAAAATAAAATAAATGGATATAAGTAAATATAAAATAAGAAGAAGTTGTCTGATAAAGAAATAAAAAGATGATATCAGAGATATAGTGGGTGACAATGTAGTTAAAATATAAAGCGCAATACGTTTTGTTTTCGGAATCTCAAGAGATACGCATATAACCCAGTATTACACCAAGTTGAAGTGGCTCTATCCATCCAACCGCCGTTTGTACTTCCTTGCCACTTTTCTATACCAAGTCATCAGAACTCAGCGGCCTTCCTATATTTTTAACAACCTACAATTCAAATATTCCATTCAATCCCGTCTCACTAGATCTCGTACCTCCGACCTCTATCCACCTCCCCACCGAACTGCTGCGTTGGACAAATTCTTTATAATTCAAGCCGTCTCCTTCTGGAATACCATCCCTCCCGATATCCGACATGTGCAATCAGTTTCCTCATTTAAATCTCTCCTTTTTAACCACCTACTCCTTTCCCAACCCGTTTGATCATGAAATGTAGATAAGAGAACTTTTAAAGTTCCCCCGGAAATGATTTTCTTTACTTATGCTATTTTATTTTATTATATAGTTTGTATTATACGTATCAGAATGTTTTTAGTGTAACAGTTATATTTTTCGTTTCTTATTTTTTCAAAATCTTAATCTTAATAATAAATGTAAATAATTAATTTGATGTATGGCCACATAGGCACTTATTCTGTATCTGTAATATGATCCCAGGATAATAAAAAAAATATTTAAAAAAAAAAAAAAAGTATATAAATATCAAGTATGTAGTCAAAATATCAAGTAACAACTTGATATTTTGACTACATTGTCAGCCACTATATCTTTGATATAATCTTTTTGTTTCTTTATCAGATAACTTCTTCTTATTTTATATCTACTTATATTTATTTATTTTATTTTCACTCGTTTTGCATCTTTTGTAGCCCCGATGAAGACCTGCAAAGTGGATCGAAACGCCTGCAAAAAAATTAAATAATACTATTTGCATAATCTAGTATTTATTTGACCGCACCACCTCCTCCACGATCAACTCCTTCTCATAATATATCACGGTCAACCATCTCTACATCATCTAATATTTTATGTTGAGATGAACGAAATATTCAATCCATAAAGCCTTGAGTTTTTAGCACAATAATAATAATATGCTATATTTATTTTAGGATGAATTTCTTTAAAAAAATACAATTATAGGCTTTAGAGCTTAATAAAAAGAAAAATAAAAAAAAAAACTAAGACGTGTGAAACTAACGGTAGAAGTGAAAACATCAACAAGTCGCGATTTATAATATGAAATTTAAATAATAAATAATAGCTCATTATAAAGAGGATGAAATGCTGAACATTTCTCTCGCTTACAGTATGCAGGTCCGATTTTTTTACTTTCTGAGATATTTTAATCTAAATCTTATATAAAACTCGTTATCATTTGGATTTCGACTTAATTTTTTCTTTTTCGCTTCCCTAACACGCTGTAAAGATAAAATTTTGAATAATAGCTCATTACAAAGAACATGAAATGATTTCCCTTGCTTGCAGTCACTAACGGATCCATGATTTAATTTTGAGAGGGGCTTCAGCCTGAAAGATTTTTTTTTAATGTATATTTTAGGATAATTACTTCGGAAGAAAGAAAGAAACTATATAAAATAGCGATTTTTTAAGTCCTATTAAATGTAATTATACGAACAATAATACCTTTAGAGATATATTTTTTTTTAATGAAAAGGGGTTATATCTTACCATTTATGGGGGAGATTCAACCAGAAAGTCCCTCTCCCCCCGTAGATCCTCCTTTTCTTGCAGTACACAGGTCCGATTTTTAACATCTGAGGTATTTTAATCGATATGTTCAACTAAACTCGTCATCATGTGGTTTTCGACACTATTTTTTCCTTTTTGCCTCCCTAACACAGTGTCGCTAATATACAATTTTGAATTCTAGCCTACTAAAAAGATAATGGAATTCTGAATAATTTAAACGCTTAAAGTACACCCGAATTTTTGTTTTTAAGATATTTTAATCCATTTGTAAAAACATTTCAATTAGTCGACTTTACCGGAACGTTTACACTTCGGAAATCTGACGGGTCAACCTAATTCACACTCCATGAAAGATGAAAGTGAAAGAGCAAAACACATCTAAAAAAGTTTGACTTGAAAAAAATAAGTGTACTAAATATCAAGTTCATACCAGACAGAAACGACAAGAAACCGCTCAACGTTTCCGATTACTTCAGCACTTACTAGACAAACACTCTAAACTTCCAATTAATTACGAAAGACTCATATACATGACTATAATAAGGCCTATTTTGACTTACGGAGTTCAGCTATGGAGCTCCACTAAATCATCGAATCCCCCTCCCTTATCCAATCCTTACAATCCAAAATCCTTCGTAAAATCCTCAATTCTTACTATTTTGTTACAAATAAAACCATCCATAATGACCTTAAAGTTTCTTTTGTTTCAGATCTGGCCCAATCCAGATACCTATCCTTCCATAATAAACTTCAGAACCATCCGAATCCTCTCGTTTCAAACCTTGCTTCCTCCTCGATCCCTGATAATCCTCCGATGCGTCAGAAAAGAAAATGTTCTAATAAAAAGATGAAGTTCTATAATAGAACTTTAATTTGAGTTCTACCAATGGCTAGTTTCTCTTCAGGTTGTACATGTCATGTTACCAATGTCACATCCCAACCCTCTCGTTTCTAGCCCTGCTTCCTCTTCAAATCCTCATAACCCTCCCAGGCGTCTGAAAAGAAGATGGCACCCTGATCTCCTAATGTAGACACATCATTAGAGTGCTACCATTCGGTAGTTACTCAGCAAGTGTTTTCATGTCATTAAATCCATATGTTCAAATTTTCTAGATGTATTTATATAATACAGTTGTAAATATCATTAAGAGATAATAAAAAAAATAAAAAGAATATCAAGTTAATCCAACATCATTTACGAGTTCTAGGTCCTTATCCACGAAAACCCGTCTGTCGCCCCACTGTGCGCTGCACCAAATTTTAAATTTACCATAAAAGATTCCTCCAAGTGAGATAAAGAAACGTTATCAATAGAGAATCATAATAATCGACTATTTAAAGAATTATGTTGCCTGAAAATCGCTGCCCTGTCGATTTATGCATAACGAAATACAATGACAATTAGATCTCGACATACAGCGAGCCCGCTTCCTGGAATTTAATTCTTTGATTAACAGGCAATTGGTTGGTCATGATTGTATTCCACCATGCCGAACAGTCACGCTCATGTAAATTCCGCTGCAGTATTCATACGTTCCTCTGCCATGGCGTTTGATTGGACGATGTGGCTCTGCTGCATGTATCGTAAACAGAGAGGTACAATACAAAATAAACTCTTCTAAATAACTCATGTGACATGTAATAATAACCTCTGTGAGCTTTATGTCCGCACATACCACCATCCCAATTTACAAATCTCAAAGTCCCCACCCGATTCCCCCCCCCCCCATTACCAGTAGTAGTTCAATAGGGCGAGTTCGAATAGTCAAGTAATACACTTACCTGTTAAAAACCACACCAAACCAAGCAAAAATGACCGAAGACGCATAGACCGATGGAGGCGTGTCGCTCCCACGGAACCCACTAGACCCCCCACTATTCTACCCCGTCCCCAAATATACGCCCCACAGGACATCTTCGGGCAAGAACTTGCATATGATGACAAAAATCACAATAGCACAGTGAAGAAACCAAAAAAAACGCCACACCCAACACCCCCCAAAGAAACAGCATAATAACCCCTACACACCCGAAGCCTGCGGCGCCCGCCCCGCCCCACCCCCGGACCCCCCACCCCACCGACCCACCCCAACACCCTCCACCCCCACTCTCCAACCGCTGAGTTATCCGTCTCGTGAATCAAAACTGCCCAATCCGCCCCGCTGTACATTACCCGGACTATGGTCCCAAAGTGTTGCATCCCAGAAATGGACCATTGCCCCCCCAGCATGTCCCCAACCCTACACACTCCCAAATCCGCAATCTGCACATCACCCCGTTTGCCCCCACCACACACACATGCCCACCCCATTCCAACATCCCACACACCCTCAGCCCACACCCCACTCCAACCTCCCAACCCTGCACCTCGAACCACCACCCACTACTCCCCCCACCACCCCGGACTGCAAAACCACCCCACGTAAAGAAACCCCCCAAAATCAACAAACAGTGTCCACCTCCCCGCCCCTGCCCCACTAACAACCAATCTACTGCCAACGGACCCCCGACTTCCCACAAACCTCACCCCGTAACATCACCATAACACACCAACACCAGCTCAATACCCAGATTGACTCTAAAACTGTCGAGCAGAGAAACATTTGAACTAATCTATGATAATATATAGGGAGTTCCGTAAGTAGAGAGAAATATTTATAGCTGAGATAGCAGATCTCACGAGCTACAAAAAAGTTTATATACATATGTGTCCAATTTTCAACAGAAGAGTAGGAAATTTAAACTTTGTATTAATCATGTTTTTAGTTAAACAGAAAGCATTACCAAAAAAAAAAAATACTTAATTTAAGTAACTAACAATTCCATCACTAAAATCTAGACAAAATTTACTTTAAATGATAATAGAATTTGTCAATGTTCAAATAATTCAAAAAGGACTTTCGAGCGGCTAAACAAAGCTACATTCTGTTTTTAAATTTATTGTTTTATAATTGTTTATAAAGAAATAGTACAATCCGTCTCGATTTAATGACATTTATAATAGTGCTCAGTGAGCACATTCTCATTCTATGTACAATAACAACATTTGGTTTTTATTTTATCTGATTTCTGTTTTTCTTTTTATTTAAATAATGTTGAAGAAAGGAGATGGTCCAGGGAGGCGGTCATAAACAGACTAAATAGTGGCAAAACTATTTTATTAGAAGCCAACGTTCGACCCGACTTCCAGGTCTTCTTCAGGGCTAGAACGGACATGATACAAACATATATAGAGGATTGTGGTAGTTACATAATATTTAGATAAAAAATTATAACCAATGTGAATAAACTTATTAAAATTATAAACAGTAAGTACACTAACATATTAGGAACAATAAATTTTATAAACAGAATAAGTACAATAAAATATGGACTAAGTAAGCTGAGTAACAAGATCCTAAACTGAAGTAAATGGATGGTAAGAATTGTTGTAGTATAATATGAAATATAATATATGTAGTTGTGAATATACTGCTACAGACCTACATCTACCTCACAGATTTTCTTCTAATCTCTCCTGTAGATCTGTAGAAGTATATTCACAATTACATATACTACACATAGGATCTTGTTACTTAGCTCACTCTGTTTATACAACTTATTGTTCTTAATATTTTAATGTACTTACTATTTATAATTTTAATAAGTTTATTCAAATTGGTTATAATTTTTTTATCTAAATATGATATAACCTCCAGAATTCTCTATATCTTTTTGTATCATCTCCGTTATAGCCCAGAAGAAGACTTGCAAAGTCGGGTCGAAACGTTGGCTATTAATAAAATAGTTTTACCACTATTTAGCCTGTTTATTACCGCCACCTCAGACCATCTCCTTCCTTAATAATACAACGGTCAACTATTAAATATTCAATATTAAATAATGTTTTTTTTTTCAATATGGCGTTTATTTGTTTTAATATACTTTCACAATTGTATATATTATTTAATTTTGATTAATATAATTTTTGGTCAGATGTGGTTGTTTTTTTTTTGTTCATAATTGTTATTCTTAAGGGACCTCGTCCCAGAATAAAGTTTATTTTCTATTCTAAAAAAAAAAACTAAATAAATAAAATTAAATTAAATTACACAAAATAATAAACTAAATATTATAATAAACATAATTGCCTAGATAGGGGGGGGGGATGGGGCATGTAGCTCGGAACAATTCATCTGGAAGCCTCTACATAACAATGAATGCCTCAATAGAATGCAAAAGAACACGTGGAATGGAAAAAAAGCAGATAGATCGATTCAACAAGGACGCAATAGAGCTACATGCAGATGACTGGAAAAAAATAGCCCATGATAGGCAGAGATGGCTTTTTAAGGTAGCAAAATATCTCATAGGCCTATAACAGAAAGAAAAAAAAGAAGCCTAAATACAATTTGTATTTAAAAATAATGATTTTTCGATTATTCATTATCTAAATACTAATAAAAATGAACCTAGTAAATTTTGTCTAGTTTACAGTGAAGCAATTGTTAATTATTTAAATTAAATATTTCTTTTATTATAGCTTTATATTGAACAAAAAAGAGACTTACTTAAAAAAAAAAAAAGTTTAAACAACCTAAATAAATGACAGTTAATAAATAGTGGTGGTAAAGTATTAGGCTTCACCAATAGTAGTTTCAATAGACAATCTTTATCATAGGCGCTGACTTCAGAGAGGTGAGGAGAGGGATCCAATGACAATAGTGAGGGGTCTGAATAAAGTCCTCCCTCCAAATTTCGAGGAACAAAAATAAATAATTCAATTACATAAAACACGTTTAAATAAACATGTGTGTAATTATTTTTATTTTATTTAGATCCTAAACTGCCGGTAAGGCAATACGAGTGTTATGACACCACAGTGGGTAGCAACGCATGCGTTACAACTCACAGCTACATTCAGACCAATTTTTTTTTTTTTTTTCAGCTCTGCACACAGCCTGCTCTTCTTTTCAGCCGACGTCCTCTTCCACCCTCTCTGGTGGTTTTCCGGATGAAGGTCCATCTCTTCTTTCCAATGGAAAAAGCCCTGTCTCCCTCAACAACTTGGCCCTTAGTGCCTCAAAGGCTGTACAAAAAAGGACGATATTCTCGGGGAACTCCGGTTCTCTATTGGAGAACATTAGGGATCAATGTTCTTGCCATATTCAACTAACTTTTCTCAGAAACACCCATGTCCTGTGAGGAACTGCGAGACCAAGTCGTCATGGAAAATTAGTGTTGCTCAAAATCGGTCTTGGTTTTGCACTTTGCAAAACCAAGACCAAGACCGCCTAACTGTTACAAGACCAAGACTGGTGAAAAAAAAATAGATTTTTTGAATAAAGATTAAGGCAAGATAGTTACTAATGCTTGATAATTTTAGTTACTATTTAGCATTTAACTCTTCCAATTTTTCGTTAGGGCTTAATTAGGTTTCTCTTATCTAAAAAAATACAGTAATATATCTACAGTAATAAGCTAATAGATAACTGCGAGACTCTAGCGCAACACCAAGACGTCGTCTTGGTCTCGCATTTGGGCAATACTAGGGATAATCCATTTCTGTTCCATTCTTGAACTAACGGTGAAGAAGTATTTTCTTAGAGTAGCCCCTTTCGGCGTCGTCACACATCGCTGGTTCCATTCTTTTAACGTGTTCTTAAGGCATTAAGAAATTATATAAATTATGTTAATAATTTTTTTTTTTTTTAATTCTTTTTATTGAGAAATAATACATTTTGCCACATTTAAGGGCACTGAGTACTAAAGCTGAGTGAGGCTCATTCATACTATATATACAATGCAATAAAAAAAAAAAAATAAATAAAAAAAAAATATATATCTATATAATAAAGGTAAAAACTATAAAACTAAAGAAATATAACTTGAATTCAAATTAAAAATAAAATAATAATAATAATAAGTAAAACAAATAGATATATAAAAAAGAAAAACATTCATAATTAATATATAAAAAAGAAAAACATTCATACTTAATATATAAAAAAGAAAAACATTCATACTTTATTTACAATGTTAATAATTAATACATAAGGGCCCACAGCTGCTTTCGACAGATCGTTCATTATCCGATCCTCATCCCTTTGGAACTCCATCCTTTCTCACATTCGACAATCTACTACCCTTCCTACCTTTAAATCCCGCCTGTTCAATCATTTCTTATCCATCCAGTCCCCATGAAATTGTAAATAGATAGTAATGTAAATATTTATATAAATTATTAGCTCGTTCTTCATTATTTTTACTTCATCTTTTTTTTATTATTAACTGATTAAAATTAGAAAGTAACTTATAATTTTTAATTTTATTACTATGACTGTTTAATTACGCAGTATCTTTATTTATGTATCTCCGAGATTCCTTACCCCCATATTTATTTATTTCTGTATTATTCTAAAGGGACTCGTCCCAGAATAAAAAAAGTATTATTATTATGTATTACTCATAATTCGCATGTATACTATAAACTTTTTTAGAGAAGTGTATATCGCTCTCCTCTTCCAACCAGAATGGAAAATTTGCTCCTACGATTTTGATAATATTATATCTGTTATATGAATAAGCCTGTTTTACAGATATCACTTAAACGTAGAATGCATCAGATAAAAGGATAGCTATCTTATGAGAGATTTTTCACTGGAATTCAGCCAAATATAGCGAGAAATAAAAAATGAGACCGAGGTTGCACAAAGACAGAATGATCAGACTATGAAAGAAAGAAAACATTTAGAGTTGAACAATTTTCAATAGTTTTTTTCTTACTTTTTTAACTGGCAATAAGTAATAATAAAGCTTTATCTTGAAAAGTATTTGACATGAGAAGTCCAAACGTGACAGACTAGATACGTCAGATAAAAACAATATTTCCTCTGATTGCTACAGATGGGTCCACAGCGCTGTCAGTTATCGCTAAGTGATGGACGGATCCAGGGCACAGAAGATGACGGGTGGCTATTCCCGCCAACAATCAGCTGATTGAACAGCCCTCGAACTAAAACAACATCAAACGTCAGAAGAGGTCGCTCCTCACATCCTTACAAAAATATTAAATGAGCCAGTTACGAAAGAGACGGGATGAAAATCCAACTCCATCAGAAGATTTGCAGCTCTATATTCAACCTAATGTAATATCCATAAGGCTCAGAAAAGTTTTGATCTAAAACAAAAATGATCTATAAACTCCTCGACATTCTACATTAATACATAACTGTACTCTAATAAACTGTCTCATTCCGAAAGCAAACATTTCAAATTTTTACTTATCTAGGTACTTCAAGAACACCTAGACGACATAGTTTGTTGGACTAAAAGGTGGAGAGTAAAAATGAACGAGTCTAAGAGCCAATTTGTTTCATTTACACTTAAACATGACTCTTGTCCTCCAGTGTTCTTTAATAATATCGCTCTACCACCTTCAAAAACTGTATGATATTTGGGTCTCCACTTGGACAAACGATTGACATGAACATACCACATAA